TGTTGTGTCTTTGAATAATGGCAGAGCAATACCAGACCACCCAGAGAGGAAAACGTCCATCTGGCAGATCCTGTCTGTTTCATTGAATGTAACAGAAATTGTTTACAGAGTGGGCTGTAGAACTGTTGACTAATCTTGTGTTTGCAAAACTCCAGAAACATACACTTTATTAGCAGAGTGGGAGGGTTTATATAAGCTTATGAATGCTTTTATTTTGTGTATGGGTTTTTTTATGCTTGGCTAAATCAGTCCTCCTTGACACTGAAGTAGGAAAACAAAGGATTGCCATAGTAACAGTTAAGGGTGAAGGAGGAGGGTGTGTCTTTGACGTTTTGCAGTAAAAAAAAAAAACAATTGCTGGACGGCTCAGTGGTGGGGAAAAACTCTGTGGTTCAGTTCCATTCATGCTGCCCACCAAGTCCCCTCTGTCCTTCTCTTTCTGGCTCCCACATGTCTCCCTTGTTGTCATTTTAAAATGAGTGGGAGACTGTGAAGAGTACAAATACTGAATATTAACAAGGCTACAGAGAAGAAGATATTCCTCTGTGTCTTTGTAATACTTCATCTTACATTTCCCTTGTGACTGCCTTAGGTTTTAATTGCCATTTTATATACATATGTTAAATGAAGTGGAAGGGTTTCATGCTGTTGCTTAATGTTTACAGGATAATTTGACCCTTACAAAGATGTCGGATGAATAGCAGCAGTGGTTATTTCATGGATCACAGAATTTGTGGTCATGATTGGTGCCTGAGAAGTCAGTGGTCACTGTTCCGCTTGAATCTATCATTAGATTAAATAACAACAGTTTTTCTAGAACAAAAAGATCAACATGCTACTTTGCATATTTATTGCAGCTTTGCAAAGCAGTTTGGAGTATCATAAAATTATGAATAGCGGTTTTGGTTTATCTGTCAATCCCCCAGTTAAAAGGGTGTTGTTGTAGTTCCTTTCAGATATATACCAAATAAAGAAATATATATATATATATATATATATTTATATATATATATATATATATATATATATATATATATAATTGGCGAGGACTTTTAATTAATTGTTCCTTGCCATGAGGTGCATCTTGGGTAACAATCTTATCCTTAAAATCCTTTCAAATGTTTATAAGTTATAAGGCATAGCATGTGTCTGCAGCCTTTGGTGTTTGTCCTGCTCTCACCTTTTTCATTCACTCTGCTTTCTTCTTTTGTCAGCAGATCGAGACTTCTAACAATGTATAGCTCGCCTTTCCTGTGTTTTTCTCCTCACTATAATAACTCTGAACCTTCTTGAGTCTGACACTGAAGCTGTCAGTAGTCATGCTGCATCCCTCTGGTTTAGGAGGGTACTGCTTGTTAAGCCAAACAGTGTTAAAGAATCTTTTAAAATAATCCTGTATCTGGATTGTTGTGTGGTTCATCACCAAAATGTAATGGATTGTTCCTCGAAATTTTATTACAATCCATTTATAACTTTAGTAAGTTATCCTTATACAGACGGATGGAAAGACAAATAAACACACACAGACACAAAGTCAACTAAAAACATAACGTTCTTGGCGGAGTTAATGAATGATATAAATAATCAACAACTTATGCAATAAATTACTGTCAATATCATGAGAAATACCACATTTTAATTATGTCTATTCCCACATTCATATAACACAGCAATCAATTCTGACAAAAAAGTAAGACTAGAGAAGAGTTTGGGAACTTATCTTCACTGTTGATTATTCCTTCTATCATTAATTCTGCTTTGGCAATCTCTTGTCCAAGGCTGACTGTCTTTCAGCAGTGTGATCAGAGGTCATGGCTTAATATTCCAGGCAGAGAGACATCAGTATTCCCGGGGCCCACACTCTTACTGAGCCATCTGCTGCTTCTGAATTGCTTCTCTCATCCTCTGTTTGCTCCTCAGCACAGCTTTTAAGCACACACATAGTCAAAACAGAAATATACAGAGGAGCACAAATGGACACATTTGCAAGATGTGTTTGCAAAAGTAGGAATGTGTGCAAAGGTAATTTAAAGCTTCATCAAAAACCGATGCATTGTTCTTAGAACAGAAAGAAGGCCTCCCTGGCTATAGCTAGAAACAGACAACTGAGTTACTAAAGGCAAATCTGGTGCTGACACTGCCTCTTTATGCATGTGATTGTGGGGTTTCTGAGCCAGTCAGTTGATTTTTTTTATTATTGAGCTGACGTATAGAGATTTTTTTTTTAGTTTTAAATTTTCCTTTTTGTGTTTTTTTTACTTGCAAACTAAAGGTACATTTAGAATCTATAAGGTGTGACATTTTCTATAAGAACTTATGGGGTGTTTTTACTGTATTTCTGCAATTACTGTATGTAAGATGTTACTTTTAAGCCCCCTCTTCTAAGTAAAAGGCTTCATACATTATGTTTGGAAATAAAAAATCCCTATGAAATCAGTGAAAGAGAAGTGATTGTTCTTCTTTTAAGTTTCCTGTTTAAGAAGGGCATTTTATTTGTTTGTACCAGTTATGCCAGTTATGATTAGCACTTCAAATTTAAATTTGCAGATTTGCATTTAATAGGTAAGGGCTCAACTAAATAATAATTTCCCAAATTATATGTATCATTTGTATAGTATTGTCAAAAGGAAAAATTGTTTTGTTCTGTTTGATTTTGTGGCGCTATAAGAAACAGAACACAGACATAACAAACAAGATAAATCATGAGATTTGGGTTGATTCACAAAAATATCTAGAATAAAGAACTATTTACAATAATCTATTAAAAAATACAGCGAATGTATCAATCAGCAATGTATCAGTATGCCAAAAGAAATCATGATTTACATACAACTGAAATATAAATCACCACTGGTCTTAATAATTTCTGGGTTTTTCCATCAGGATACCATAAAATGACCTAAGCACTGCTCAATTGCATGTCTTTATGTGCGGAGAAAACCAATAAAGTCATCAGTTTCCTAAATTGATGATCACCCTAGAGCAGCTGTCGCGCTTGCAGTATTTACTTGAGTATTAACACAAGTTCAAAGAAGAAGAGGAGCCCCCAGGTGGTTGCTTTGACTATGACCGATGGCAGCTGAAAGGCTAGAATATGCTCACTACATTAGATTCATGTAGGAAATAATGGTGGAAGATTAAAATGTCTTAGCTGCGTGAAGAGTATTATCAAGACACTTTGTTATGAATCCCAGATTAGATAGATTAGATTAGATAGAACACCTCTGGACAATTCAGAATCAATTGGCAAGCAGAGGAGATGTGTTTTGAAATAACTACTTTTTTGGATGCAGGATTTAGCTCAAAATATTTTGCACAACTTCCAGAATATTTAAGAACTAACCAAGGAGTAAAATTAGATTCAAAGTTTAGAAATTTATTCAGCAAAAAATCCAAGAAAAAAAGCTTTTGATACAGGCCACTCCGACTTGGCTGTGAAACGTCTGTGGAAAGAATTCAGCTCAAGCTTTCTGGTAATCTTTGTAATTAACCAGCAAACAAACCAACTACACAGAAAACATTACCTTCTTTGAGGTAATGATAGGAATAAAAATATCTTATCACTGCATTCAATCAGGCATGTAGATGTAAAGGATCTTCACAGACAGCCTTAGTTTAGCATTCAATTATTAAATGTATGTAGCTTCTTTTTCTGGAGCTCTGGCAACACTTCAATCTCGCAGTGCTTGGAAATCCTTTAAAAACTCCTAAATCTGGATCATGATCCAGATCACCACCACAATGTAAAGAGTTCTAACTAAGGCAGTATAAGACACACCTGTGGTAAAATGTTAGAGCAATTGGTTCAATCTTTTTCCGTAATCCTGCTAACAAACACATCAATGCTACAAAAAGCATTACCTGATATGTGGAGCTCATGTGATTAAAGATATTTGACATTTTGCAAGTCTTTCTGCCTCAGACTTCCTTTGAGTTTTGTTTATGATTTTGAATCTTTTTGTTTTTCTCATGCCTGCCAGGACAAATTAAAGTTATTGGTGTAAATTACATTGAAGTAGAATTTAGTAAGATAAAAAAGTAATTCGTTTTCTTTCACTGATCTAAAAGAAAACTGAAAGTGGAGCTATTTCCTGCTCATTCTGTAAAATGTTCTTTTGTTCTCGCTTTTTTTCTTTGTCACAAAAAGAAAGATTAAACAAAACTTATCAACTGTCTTTGGTTTCAAAACTCAGACAAAAAGCAAGTCAAGTCTCAGAAAACGGCTGTGCTTTGAACTGTCAGCTAAAAGAGCTGAAAATGTTTGCCTCTGAATCTGGAACAAAAACAAAAACTCATAAGTTTCTATTTGTTTATGAGAGCTATTCAGCAGTTGCTCATGGATGCAATAAGAGGCAGCCTTGGGGATCAAATTTATGTTGCTTCAGTGATCTATGATATGCAAACTCAATTTCAGTGTGAGAAAAGCTGGAAGTGTTAGCATGAGAGCCAAAGTAGGATAGAAAATCCTTATAAAACTGAAGGTTTTTTTTCTAACTGCGGTGTTTAAAACTGAAGGCTGCAGTCAGAGATGTAAAATCAGACAGTAATTCATTTTATTTTGGACACAATAGTATTAAATCAGCAAGAAGGATGATATATATATCTTGTCATGATTTTATTATAATATTTTATTAATACATGCAAAAATATATTGTATGTTGCACAGTAAAGAAATAGAATGCATGTCATACAAAGCAGATTTTGTGAATGCCACCTGAACAAGGACTTAGATCCTTTTAAAAAACAAAAAAAAAAACAAATATCCCAAATAGAAGTGTGTGAAGCATGAAGAAAGCAGCAGTATTTGATTCTTTTGAAGCATTAGTTTTAAAGCCCAAGAAGCTAACAAAGAAATTGTCAAAGGTTATCATTCCCCAGAGGATGCAGTTACCCCTAGTAACCAATCCTGACTGAGCTTTATGGAATCGTTTGGGGTGGGGCTGAGCTCTCAAATGATGGAGCTGGTTTATAGAATGAGGATAAAGAGAGGGTGGAGTCATAGAGGTTCACGCTGTTTGGCAGCTAGAGGGGGGATGGGAGGAGCAAGGAGAAGCACGAGTGAGGAAAAGCAGGGCTGCTGTTCTTACACCAAATCCCAGACCTATTGTGTATCACATGCCAGCTCCAGGTAAGACATATACAGTTAGAGCATCGTATGCTAGACATTGAACAAATTTGATTGTTTTTATATATTTTCCACAAGGATACACTGAAAAGCTAGAGTGAGTGGTTTAAAATGTGTAACATGTTGCTTTATTTCATCAGGTGGGCTCATGTACAGTGTCTATGTGATCAAAAAGCTTTGTATTGTGAGTCAGAACTCAGTGTGTGTTATGTAAGAAACTGCATTAAAAAAGCATTGATAGGTGCCAATGTGCAGGCGTATGTCTTTTTTAGAAATATGTTTCCTGGCTTGTTGGACAGATCTGATTAACTGGTTTCATTCATGTAAATAGGAAACATAATTCAGAAGAAGGATAACTGATAGGGAGCAGCAACAACACCCCCTCTGAGGGAAGATGTGCATGGCAACGTACAGCTACAACTGAGAGAGGGGAAGCTGACAAAACAATAAAATATAAATGAATACTGAACTTTTAGCTTTGGATTGCATTTCGTGGACTTTAATGTAGCAAGAAATTATGCTTATACAGTTATTCGACAGACCTAATAAATATGACCACTTAATTGAAAGAACAATTGAAAAAAAAATATATGAACTCAGCAACTGAATTAAAAAATATGTATGTTGATTAAATAAAGAGCAGGCACGGGAGGTGCTGATAGAGCTGGATAAATAAAAACATTGCTGGTTTATTGTTTTATTTTAAAGCCAACAAGTTAACTTTCAGAAACAATGATGCAATCCTTAATTGATATGAGTCCAACTGTTTTGAGTAGCTCCTCTCTGATAATGCTTCTGCTGGAATAGGGCATCTGGAAGAAACAGAAGGCAAAGCTCCCTATTATGTTAACCTGCGCCACAGAGCTAAAGCCACACACATGCGGTGTCACTGTGTTGCTATTGGGACTACTGCTTTCCCTTTCCATTGGAGGGAAGAGGCTGTCCCATTCACGTTTATACCCCCTACAATCCAGGTGCCGTATGACTGCGATTTTTTTGCAAGTGACGCTTGATAGTTAATTACTAGTTAGGGGGCAGTTTTGGATTCAGCCAGTGAGTTTACAACTCACTGGCTGAGAATTAAAAAAACAGAATAATATCAAATCGGCTTAGGGTATAGCTCACAATTTGTATGAGGTGCTGTGGAAAGCGCCATGCTTAGTGTACAAGAATATACCAGATAGCAGACATTTACAAAATATATAAAAACAAAATGAGGTACGGATTTATCTACTGATAAACACATCTTTTTGGGGGTATCAAAGTAATTGTCTTTTTATTTCAGAAAATTAATGCATAGTCATATAAGGTTACAATAATATTTAACATTAGCGGAATTTGACATCACTTAGGCTGTGTTGCTTTTGTCTTTCTCTGTCTTACAGGTTCACACCATTAACAATGCATGGCTTGTAGGCCGCCAATAATGGCCCAAAGAAAGAGGCCTGGGACCAGTAGTGGAAACACCATGTCTGGTCCCAGCCCTGCTACCTGTCCCGCCCCTCATCTTGCAGAGTCATGTGATCTTAAAGTTCTACCAGCACGCCAGCGCCCGCTACGCTATCACAAAGAGTCTCATAATCCAAAACCCTTAAGTCATTCTTGCAACACCAAATATTCCTCCTCCAAGCCTCAAGATGTGAGCCATGTTCATCCCGAAGATGATGAAGATGTGGATATTGACATGAAGCAGTATAGCCACCCAGAAGTTGACTCACAGGTTGAGAATGAACGTCCAACGACACCATCCACGCCTGAAGATGAACCTCAGGAGAGTGAGGACCACTTTGTCCATGATCCGGCAGACTTTCATGGTGAGGCTGACAGTCTGGATGATGACTCAAGCTCTGACTACATTAACAACACTTCAGAGGATGAGGAAGACTATGATGATGGTGAGTTTACTATCTGCTATCTTCATTTGGGATAAAATGGATGGGAAAATTTTATTTGTTAATAAATAGAAATACATTGAAAGGCTCTCTACCTTGGTCACTAAGTACTCCTGATATTTACTCTCTGTTTCCTTATGAGGGCAGCCCTCAGTGTATAAACCAAGTATCTTGTAACTGTCTATATTTGATTTTCCATACATGGCTTTTTCTGAACAACGGAAGTCCACAAATATTTTATTTCCAACATCAGTTCAATACTTACTAAACATGCAAAATTACTGTTGCACTGTTGTTTGTAATAGTTTTCCAGGTTTGGTGTTGGAATAGGGTAGAGCTGAAGTGTATGTCCTTCAATAGATGTCACAGATATAATGGTCCACTGTGGTTAAGGGCATTTCCAGACTAGATACCAGCATCTGGTCTATATGTTTTTAACAGCACCAGTTCTAGGTCTGGAGGTTCAAAAGATTTCCAGACAGTGCTTCCAATAAATATCAAGGTTTTTCACACAAAAAAACACATTTGTCTGCTTCACATTGACACAAACTTCCCTTTGAGAAGCTGTGACTTGACATCAGTGGGGATAATGTACAATCAAATACATGACAGTGTTTTAGGAACGATTGTGGGTTTTTTTCCCTACTTAAATAAAGCATACAACTGTTTGTTTCTGATTGCAAACCTCTCCAGGATTAGCAGAGGAAGACGGGGGAGTGACTTACTACATTCGCTACTGCCCTGAGGATGATAGTTACCTGGAGGGAATGGACTGCAACAACCAGGGAAACTGTAACCACAGCCACAAACAGGGAGACTGCTCCGGAAACATTGAACAACATAGAACCCATGCTGGTGAATGCCAGGAGGTAGAAGAAGGATGGGTAGAAGAGGGAGAAGAGGAAGAGGCGGAAGGAGTATTGAGAGAGGAGGAATGGGTTGAAGATGATGAAGGAGAAGAGCCAATAAGAGAGGAGTGGCAAGAAGATGAGGATGAAGTGGTGGAGGAATGGAGAGAGGGAAACGAGGAGGTACAAGAGGAATGGATAGAAGAGGATCATGTGAGCCAGGAGCAGTGGGAAGAACAAGAAAGGCACAGGGTTGAAGAGTGGGGTCAGGGGGAGGGGGAGGTCCGTTGTGAGGTGGTGGAACAAGATCCTGATGAACAGATTTACAATGGAAGACCAGAACCCATATTGGACCATCACCACCAGCCTGCAATGCAAGACACCATCCACACTCAGGTGCATGACAGAGAGGAAGACAGAGAGGAAGAGAGTGAAGAGGGCTGTCCCAATGAAGATGAAGATGAGGAAGGTGCTGAGAAGGAGAGAGCTTACACTGGTGACTGTTATCCCTCTGAAGACAATGGGAACTCAGTGCAGGTCTCCCCATACCGCAGTCGTAAGGTGCTGGTGGTGGAGGGAGAGACAGGAGAGGAGGCAGAGGAGGACATTGACCAAATTGTTGCTGAGATTAAGATGAGTATGAGCATGGGGAGTCTAAGCAGTGGCACTGATCAAAGCCCAGAGGAGTTGGCCCAGGATCCTGTACCAAGTGACTATCCTCACCGTAAGCCCGAGGCAACGTCCTATCCACCAGTTCATCACCGTCATGACAGCAGGCCCAAGTCCCTAAACATCCCCTCCATGCATCACAGCAACCCTGACCTCCAGAGAGGCACCAAGGCTCATCCATGCTCTCCTGAAGACAGACAGAGATGGGCTCAAGAGCAGGTAATCTGTTTAGAAAGTCCAAAAGCGTTTACTTATCCACATTTCTAGCAATACTGCTTTTAGGGTCATACAACAGAACAAACTCTAAAAAAAAAAAAATGAATGGTGTAGTATGATTATTGCGCTTCTATAGCTGTATTAAGTTTGACTTTATTTTAGAAAATGTATCAAATTACCTTTTCCGTAGACTACATCAATCTTTTTTTCAAATTTCCATTGGCCTGATGCAACACCAAATACTATCCCACATATTGGTGTTGCATTTTCTTGATGATAACATTTATTTCATTTTTTTTATGTTGGAATTATGAAGCATTATTCTTTTTTTCAGTTCAGTTTCATTCAAGATGGATTGTTTCATCCTATCAGTTTTTTCTTTATAATTTGCAAGAAGGTTTATGGCGTAGCTATAAGAGAAGAATTTGAATTTAGTTATGTGTTGACAAAACACAATGTGTCCTGGAAAACTATGAGTAACAATGATACATGTAATCTATGTTTTGATTTATTGAGAGAACATTTGATGCTACTGCTTATCTTATTGTTGGAAAGGTATTCAATGTTCAGTGGAATTCATCTGGATTTAGTTTACTATAGAGCCAACAAAGTATGGTTGAGAATATGATTTGTTTTTTGGAGGGGTTATGAGCAGACCGTTATATCTGCATACATAGGTCCTTAATCAGAGTCAAGCTCAAAGCCATTCATACTCTAACTTTATATGTGCTACAGTCACTTCTGCAATACATTGTTTTTCAGTAATGATTATTTACACAAGTGAGTGTTTGCAAACTAAGAGTATTTATTAAGCATCAGATGATAGAGGGAAAAGGTGTTTACTTGTTGGCTCCCATGAATAGAGGGGGCAGGGGTTTGGTACCGCTCAGTTCGACTTTGTCAATTGATTCTGTTCAGTCTGGGGGAATACAGTCCGCTCATCCAGCAGGTAAGTCAGAAGAGACTTGAATTATTCAGATGCAAACAGCAAAGCAAACATTTGCAGGGCTTAATTTTGTCACTCACTGTAGCCTTGGTAGAGGGAGTCCCCAGAAGGCAGTGGATAGCTTATAACAGCGGCTCAGACAGCAGGAGCACAGCTGCAAACCACTGCCGAACCAGTGGGTCAAGGTCCGGTGGTTTCACAGTTCTGGGTCAGTCGGCTGTTCTGTGGGTCGACCAGACGAACTGGGTGGTTTCTCATGTGCTTCAGCAGGCCTGTTCACAAAACACTGTGTTCAATCTGGTTTAAAACGCAGGAAAAACAAGACACTATCTTCAGCTCTTCTCCGGAGGGGTTATGGCGGCTATGACATAGCCTTCAGCTGAAAACCGGAATGTGTCTCCGCTTTCGAGGACCGAAAGCTGCATGCAAGAGACAGTTAAGATGGAGTTGGCTGGTTAAGTAGACTCTGTTGCAGTGATGTGACATCAGGGGGAGTCGCTCCCGCTTATGTCATTGACATTTGATCCTCAACAGATGGTAGGAGTAGTAACGTGTTCAAAAGTCAATTGGGGAGAAAGCTCAAAAAGGATAGTAGTACAGTTGCATATACTATAAAATCTAGATGCTACTTCACATCTAAAGTCTATGTTAAACACATCAGGAAGAGATGCATTGTCTAGATACATTCTGCTTTCCTGATAAACAATTTTTAGAGATGGCAGTTTAAGGTAAAGCATCTTTAGGACTCCTGGATTTACAATTTTGGGGTGAAGAGTTGAAAATGAGTGATAAGTAACATATATTTACAGAAGAAATATAATATTTGAAGCCTTGCCCCTACCCTATTGTTACCAAGGAATTTACCTGCTACTTATTTCTTTCCTGGATCTTACATGCAGAGCCACCCTATCATTGAAAGGTAAAATAGTACAAAAATAAGAGATTTCAAGAAAGCTTGAAGGTAATAAGCACCTGTATTATGCATATATGTACTTGTTCTTAGCCTTCTGCAGCTCATTTGTAGTCAAAATATAGGTCTACAATAATGTATTAAACTGAAAAACATGCACACCCTGGTTCACGTTCAAATGACTTCTGGAGATGATTTCATAATCAGTGATCAAATAAACAGTTAACTACATTGTGATTCACTGTGCCTAACGATTGAACCAGAGTAAATTTGATTATACCTTGAGAGTACAGCATTGAGCCAAAGTTTAAAAGAGTAGTGATGGAAATTGTTGCTGGTGATCCTCTACAAACAAACCATATACTCTATTGTTTGGAAGGAAGATACAATATACTAGAGTAAACACTTTAAAGGTTTGACGTTCTCTAATTTCCATGACACAATACAATGGTTTAAGATATTGTTAATGTCTTGCTAAAGAAAGCAAAAAAGGGGGATAGAGTAATAGTAAAGCTGCTCTCCTCCTGCAATGTGTCTGCAGACCAGACAGCCACCCTGTGTTCGTAGGTACCGCAGGCTGCCAGTGAGGTGATCCAGTATCCACTGGGACAGATGGTGGTCCAATCCTGAACACTATAGCTTGTCCTGAATGACTCAGAAGTGGATGGTACTAATAGGGCAGGAACATTAAAGAACGTTATTTTCTTACTACTCCAAGGCTTCTCCATGTGGGTCAGTGTTTGGTGCAGCAAGTAGACAATGGTTTAATCCACTGCAATGCCAGCAAACTGCAGCAGATTTTATAATGACACCACCTGAGGGCTAAAGGTAGTTGATAAACAAAGTATCAAGGATCTTCATCAGATGCTAGGTCAGTACAAACTTGTACCCGTTAGGGTCCTTTAAATCTGCAGTCTTATGCAACAGTACCGAACACAAGGTCTTTCACACCTGGGATAATTTCCCTTACTTAATAGTGATAAATATATGTTAAATATATGTCTCATGATGCATTGAGAAAGACTGGTTGAGGGTCAGGCTGAATGATATTGCTTTGATCACAATGTATTTCTTACCTTTGGTCAATAGGATATTATTCCAATATCAGTATAAGAAACGTAAAAGCCTCAGAAAAAATGCTAAGAAAGCCCACAACAGAATGAACAAGCATGAACATTTTTATGATAAGCCCATGAAACTCCTCCAATATAACATTTTAAGGACAGTAAATCCTCCACTTGATTTGTCATGGATCTCATATTTCCCACAATACCGGTTGAAATGACTGGTCTGTAGGTCCTCCTCCAGTTAAGATGGCTTCTCTTGGCCCATTTCTCACTCCTGCTTCTGCTATCTCATGAGGGAAAGGGTAAGATATCAGATAGTCAATAAAAGGAGAACAATTTGTTTTAGTTTTACATTTGTTCTCTAGAAGAGGTTTTTACAGCCCTGTTCTTAGCAGTTAATGATGATAAAATTCAGTTGGATAATTCCCACATGTTGCATCTTGAAATTGGATTCAGTTTGTGGATTCATCCTACAAAAACCTTCTGTCTTAGTATTGCAATGCTTGTTTGTACAACTGCGTTGGGCACCATGATGAATATTGATAAGTTAACTCTCTTCCTCCTAAGGAGGGTACACAGAGTTACAACATGTTCTGCTCATCTGAATTTCCCTTTTACTGCTGTGCTGAGGGAGAGGATCTAAACAGCAGAGGCTTTCATTTCCCTCCTGTTGCTAGCGAGATGTAATAAACAGTGAGGATCTGCCAAATTGTGCTTCTTCTGATATGTCCTCTTATTTCTTCTGATTGTGCACACAAACTGAATAGCTCTGCCCTTTTTAGCAATATAGTTTTTTTTTCTTAAAAATAAAACACTTTACCCTTCAATCATAAGCTAATTTCTATTATTAAAGAGCAATAATACTGTAAAATCCACATCCACATTGACAGTGCAGAACAAAGACTAATTTAATAGTTGATATTTGTTGTTAATGTTATTGTTGATCTGGAATGGATTATCTAAGGTATAGAGCTAAGGTCAGTTTTCGATTAAGAAAAGAAAAATAATTTTAAGTAAATCACATAAATACATAGTTACATGCAAATCAGTCACTATCCTTCTACAGTGTTGCATGATTAAACTGTTTTAAAAGTTAGGTTTGGCTTGAATTAAACAAGATGATCAAACTTTTTTGAAAGGCGGACATAGGCTATAGTTCTTAGTTTGAGCATTATGATTTTCTATGTAATCTGAGATTAAGTTTACCAAAATTTATTGATGTGACGTGCAGTTTTGGTTTCCACTTCTGGTGAAATACTTTCTTAGCATTTTTTCCATGGCCACTAAGACAAACCTACAGCTTATACAATATAATTCAAAGCTAAGAAATAATGTGACATTTCATTTATTTTAAGTAAAGTTTCCCACAGATTTTATTTAAAGTTCTACTACAAGTTTAGTTTCTCAGTTTTCTCCTATGCAGACAAGAGCTTCCAATTAAGAGAAACAGGGAAGTGTTCTAGTTTTACCATATCTGTAATCCTCTGTTCTGTTCTGACTTATATCATGGCATCTTTTTGTATTGTGTTGGTCTGCCAGGTTGGCAATGGTCCAGATCATTCTAGAAAACAGCAGCGCTCCGACCTTAATGTTCCCCTGGAGAACAACAATGTACCAGAGGTAAGATGATGCTGGATAACCTCATGCAGGATTTTTTCTCCCTTTATTTGTTTACTGTTTTATTGGGTGATTTTGTTATCTCGTACAAAATATATGTGTGTGTGTATATAGTGTAAGAGTGTGTGAAAATTTTTTGTAAATGAACAGCTGTGTAATTATAACTACAGCTCATGTCTGGTGCTTACAGCATGATAGCATTGTAGCAATTGAGCATGTGTTCAGGGTTTTTATGAGAGCCATTTTTCACTCCGAAGTCAGCCTCTTCTTACCCTTGAGTGAAGCCTTCTGAGTAAATGTAAAACCGTAGACCATAGCAGTCTGGTCACAGAGCTCTGCTAGATCCAGTTAGACAAAAAATAACAGTTTGACTGTCAGGAATCAACGACCATTCCTCTGTTTTTTCTGTTTTTTTCTCACTGTTCAATCTGCCATAGACTCATCATTCTAGGATGACATATTTGTGCTGTTTATGAACAACACAACATGAATAAAAGCGTGGTTTCATACATGATTATAATTACATAACTGTAGGAGATGGATTTTGCCAAGCCTGGATAGCATTTCTGATTATTAACGTCAAAAATGGATGGTCTGTATTATTTGATTTTTGGGTTGATTTATTTGAGCTTCTTTGTGGGAAAGGGGTTTCACACTTTAAAGCAGATGAAAGCAATATAGAAAGTACTGATCTGTAAGAATGTATTAGTGGAACATTGTGTATCTTTAATTGGAGCTTGCAATGATAAGTATCTGCTTTCTAAACAGATCAAGGAATCCTAGACTCTTGCTATACAGAATAATTGAATTCGTTAAGCATTACAGCACATTAACAGTTTAATTTTAAGTGTAGCTGAAAATCATTCAGTTGAGGCCCCACGCTTCTGTCCAAAATATCACATTAACACATTATTGTTTTGATATCTTGCTAGATAATATAGGCTTGAGTATAAAGTTTTTATAAAATGAAACAGAGCAGGCTGTGAAAATGAGATAAAGCAGATACATTTATTTTCATATCTGTTTTCTTTCTTTCAGCCAACAAAGAAAGTTGCCTCCTTCCCAAGCTTTGTTGATGGTAAGTTGTCTGCCTCTGAACCAGCTTTCTAATCTGACCAAAACCCTACTGACATGAAACAACAACATCAATAATTCTAACTAACATCACTGTCCCTGCTGAGGAAATGTATACCCAGATCATGATGGTACCTCTAGCATGTCTTACTGTTGGATGGACTAGCCGTGCATTTGAGGTATACTAATCTAACCCTGCTATAGATCATAATTTTCTTCCTTACTTCATTGCCCCATTTACACTACCCTTTTAAAACCATGCTGAGATCGGTCTGAGCACAGTAACCGAGTTAACTGTTGAGTGTAACTGGCATGCAAACTGAACTGAGCCATGCCTGGACTAGTTCGTCAGTAGGCCGAATGTAATCATGAAATTTCAGACATTCATAAAAATACAAGCTTCCCTACCTTTCCACACGATTTTCACTGAGGATTCTGCTTAGCAGTGTGATGAACCTCAACGTCTGTTGATTTTTCCTGCATCTGTAAGACCTGATTATTCTATCGTTTGTTGTGTCCACATTTCTTCAATCCTAGAAAACAGTAGTACCGTAGATCGTCACTAGGAGGCGAGGGATCGTGCTAAAGTGATGTGTAAACGGTCATAAGGATCCGATCTCGGCACGGTTACCTGATCCAAGCTCGGTTCAAACTCAGAACAGATTGGTTTCAGAGGGTAGGGCAAATGGGGCTTACGTTGTGTTTGTTAGCCTTTATGAGGCCAATAAGGTTTTTGCTCACCTATGTTGAGAACCAATCTATTCATGCTAACATCAAAATGCACAAAGATAGATTATGCACACTGTTTTCTTTCTGATTTTAATTAAGATTTTATTTGGAAGTATTACAATAAAAAAAAAGGAAAAAAAACAACAGTGTGTATTTGTTCTTCCACCGTTTATGCACTATGATGTGTGCATAGATTTCACTGTAATAAGGTGAAGTTTTGTGGCACAAAAGTGGGCATAAATAGTCTGTCATCACCTCATCTCCAGAAAAACAGTATTTTACTCCATGTTTAACCTAGCATGGTAACCGGAGCGATTGCAATACCTTCTTTAAGGCACAATCAGCATCTGTCCAAAGGCAGTCTGACTTCCCTAATTCGGTCTGTTTTTTGCTATCCTCTCAGTTCCTGGACCCTGCGAACCAGAGGACCTGATTGATGGCATTATCTTTGCTGCTAACTACCTTGGCTCCACCCAGCTACTGTCTGAGAGGAACCCCTCCAAGAACATCCGCATGATGCAGGCACAAGAAGCTGTCAGCAGGGTCAAGGTACCACATGGTGCTTCACAGATACTAACATGTGCAACCACAGAAAGAATATTTCATTTTTCCATCAGAAAAAAATCCTAACTTGTTACAAATCTCATAAGAAAAAAACATACAGTAGTAGAGATATGAAAAATAGATTATTTACATTTAACTCACAGGATTTTAGCTAAGTAATTTAAGCCCAGAATATTAACTTAGAGTCTTACGGGCTAAAAAATGGCAAGAATAGTGTGCTTGGTAAAATATTAATACATAAAAAGAGACTTTTTAAAAAAAAATAAAATATATCTGCCATGGTGGGAAAGTAACATCCATCCATGCAAAACCAAAATGGGATAACTGATTTTAACTTATGGGAGTTTATTAAGTTGTTCCAGTTAAATATAAAGCATTTGTGGGATACAGGTACAGGCAGAATAATATGATATATATTGATATATAATCTCCTCAACTCCATCCATACGCAGAAGCTTTGGTTTGATTTCACCTACAGAAAGCCCACTCTGTGTCTCTGCTCTGATCTACTCTAAGGTCTCAGCAGTTTCTGCCAGGGACCTTTTCTGTGTCTTTACTAGATTAAGTTTTAATAAAGACAGGTCCAATATGTATTCTTTAAAGGCTGCACTGCTTATCATTTGCTCTAGACTGACATGACCACCAGGTGCATTCACAACTGCATGGTGTGTGCTTCCTTGAATTCAGAGATCCTGCTGTATAAACTGTACTGCTAGATAAAGGTGTTCACTGTAACATTTTTACCTTAAATCTAAACTGGTTCACAAGCAGAAGTCTATAAATAGGAACTACTGTGACTGCAGCAGGGTATGGAAGGCCAAAGGTACTGCAAATTTAGTACATAAAAAAGTTGTAATATATCTGTTTGTAGACCTGAGTATTTCAACGTGACTTATGATGCATTCATCAAAAAAATAAAACAATTTTAATCCTAAATATATTAAAAAAAATATAAAAAAAAATATATTTATTTATTTTTTTTACATATTAAATACATATACTTCATAGCCATTGAATAAAGAAGTTATGAAAAATAAAAAAAAAATCACTCTTACTACAAGTCAGTCATAATGAGTTTGGATTTGAAGATGATCTGCAGCTGACTTTCAGTCGAAAAGGTTATTTAAAAATGTACTTTTTAGCAATTTTTTGAGCAAATATTTTATTCAAACTTTTCTTAAATTCCTCAATTTCATCACTACTGTACATCGATGGATTAATTACAACTTTTGCTTAGAAATAATTGTGCAATCTAATCAAAATATTTACATATAAGAATTGTGTGACCAGCATAAAATTTTGGGGGGTTGGGGCAAGATATATGAATCATAAGTATGAATTTTAAGTTATTTTTCCTGAGCCCAGTTACAAGCTGGCCTGTTTATACTAATGACATCAGTTTCACAACATATTCTAATACAATATTTCTGATGCCAAACATACGTATCGGTGTCCACATGTCATAAACCTGCATGAGCTGAAAGTGTGGCATTGTCTTCCTCGTCATTTGCCTTTCTTTTATGAATAAAAAGTGTCGGGACAGCTCCTGCATAGTTCTCTGAAACAGGAGGCTTTTATTTCGAGTCATCTTTTTTTAAATGGTTGGTGAGCAAGCATTCACCTAAATATGGATGGCCATTTCTTTTTTTGTAGTATATGTAACCCAACCTGTCGAAATGTAAGAATGAAACCTGCTGGTAAAGTTTTTCCTGCTGGTAAAGAAATGAGTCACCTTGCCTTTCCTAAAGAGCATTTATGTAAGAGTTCTGTGCAAATGGTTTGCTGCAAACTTTCAACTTAGAAACAAGTGTCTTTTAGCACCCTCTAATGGTTACCTTCATAAATATTTGATGATCTCCTGTGCAACTATCCACTTTTAGAAACTGACATATAAAAGGACCAGCCACTGAGGGGTAAACTTTGCTGTGGTTTTGTGTTTTGAAAACTGATGTCAGATTATTTAAAATCTTGTCAGTTATTATCAGTTTCAATGACAAATTCAGAGTTTTGGCACATAACACATAAGGTCTTCTCCCCAAAAAAATTTCTAGCGCATCATTTTAAAATTTCAAGTCAATGTTGTTACAATATTTAGAAGATTGGGGTGAATCACTTATAATCAGTAACTTGCTGCTGGTTGTCACTTTACTCTATTCACTGGTATATTAATATTTGGTAGTAAACTCATTCTCATAGGCATTATTCATGTTATTCTTTTTTTCCATATCAATTTGAGGAAACATTTAGTTAGTGTACAGGGGTCTACTGTTTCCTAAAGCAGAGAAGGAAGAGGAAAAATAGAAATAGGCAGATGAATTGGGCCTAAACTTGGTAGCTGATTTATTCGGATCCTGTCTGCATGACATTCACTCACTTTGATGTAATATTTATAAAGCTTCATCCCAACGCCTACCTTTAGGTCTTTCCTGTTTGTCAACCCCCTGCCGATTTGCTCAGCAGCTCTGCAGTTGTTGCTTAAAGCCACACATCTCTTGCATAACAGCAGAGCTGATAAACCCTATTGAAATAATAGAAAAGATTTTTCCTCCTATTTCTTATGACAACTGCTTTTTTGTAGTTTTATGTTTGGAATATTTAAATGCTGAATTAGCTAGTGTTGTAACATATTTGTTCGACTTATAATTTTCCACATTTTGTCAGTTTACAACCATACATTTCATAGTTTTTTATGGTGATTTGTGGCACATTGAAGCATAATGTAAATCATTCTTTTAACGTGGAAGGAAAACTATAAGTTATCCTGAAAATGTATTCCAATAAAACAACTGAAAAGTGTGGCATGAATATGTATTTATTTGTCCAACTTTCTCTCTGTCTCTTTTTTTTTGGGGCTCAGTCGGATTGAAAGGAAAGCGTTTTGAGATCAGTGTTAAATCTTACAGCAAATTCTAACTTTGGATTTTGTTCTGGACTTTGACTGGACCATTTTAACACCTTAATATGCTTCGATTTAATTGGATCCTATGTGACACCTGCACCTTGTTTAAGATCATCTTCACTCCATTCTTTAGTCTTTTGAAGCAACTAACAGGTATTCTGGGCAGTATTTCGTATCAATAATTTTCTGCACTTCTCTGACTCTCTACCTTGTCTTTGCTGAAGACAATAACGTAGCATCCACACAGCATAATCCTGTGTCCCCCATTATTTACTGTTACAGTTGTCTTTTTTTTTTTTTTTGGGGGGGGGGGGGGGGGGGGGGGGGGGGGGGGTGATGCGCAGTGTTAGTTCCCTATCATAAAATGCTCTACATCAATCAGAAGTCACTTTTCTTTAACAGTCATATTTGTTAAGTGCATAGCTATTATTTTTTCTTTATACATTGTATCCCAGCTGAGCTCCAGAGTGAGAATGAGTGTGCATTATTCTTCCTTGTTTTATGTTTGTAACTAAAGGGGTCAAAGTAAACCTATATATAAATTTCCTTCACTTTAAAAACATGCACCAGCTTCTGTTAACCTGCAACACAGCTTTCCAGTTAATGAATTCAAGTATGTCATATGACAGGGCATGCTTTGATGGCGCAGTAGTGAGCATGCACGACCCATGTACAGAGGCCTCAGTCTTGGATATAACTCACCTTGGTTTGAATCCAATTTGTTGTCTTTGCCGCATGTCCCGCCCCTCTCTCATATCCCATTTACTGTCGACCTGCTGTCAAAAAAAAAAAGCCACTAGTGCTGTAAAAACTTTTTTTTTAAAGTATTCGTATGCAAACACATTTGAATGCTTGTTTAAGGTCCTGTAGGTGGTTAGCAGTCCTGCTGTCATCCTTTTAAAGGATGTCAAAACATTTTGCGATGGTGGGGCTAACTACTTTAACATCACTATTATAACTACTTAAACACACATTAGTTTCTGCTTTAACCTCTTAAAATCTGTATAAAATGTTTATAACGTTTATACAGGTTTGTAAAAACAAGAGTGTTTTTGTACAGCAAAATAACAATGAACTAAATGCATACTGTTAACCTTCAATACCTAATCTCGTCACTTCCTATTTTTCTCTGCACTTGATGCAGTTACATGTCAGTCTTTCTAGTTGTCCTTAGAACTGAGCTCCGTCTCCTGAAATAAAGTAGTTTGAAATGTTGTTAATGCCTTTAATTGACCCAGGATCAGTGCTGGTGTTTCTCTGCATGTTTGGTAAATTATTTATGGGTAATAAATTAAACATCAGAGAGAACTTTGTCACAACTTAGAATCAGCTCCTATTTATAACTGCTTGTTTTTAATATGCTGTGTTTACAGGAGAAAAAGCAATTATCCCCCCGTGTAATTACTGTTTTGATTTGTATCTGTTAATCAACACTGTGCTGTGCAAATATCCCAAACACGCTTGCTCAACACAGTCACACACAGCTCGTCTGTCTCCGTCACGCTTCCTGTTTGTTAGAACAACATCTTGTTCAGAGCTTTACTGTTGCTGGTATTTTCTTTATAATCCTCCTTTTTTATGTGCTCCTTCTCTTCCTCCTGTTCTCTGTGCTCCTGTATCTGCTGACCTTGTCCCGTCCCAACGCCTGCCTGCCTGCCTACCTTCCTGCCTGCCTGCCTGCCTGCCTGCCTGCCTGTCTACCAGAGGGTTCAGAAGGCTGCCAAAATCAAGAAAAAGGCGGTGTGTAATAAACTGAGCACAGGAAGAGCCTTTGGTCACTCTCCTTCCATTGCATCTTTTACATTGCATTTTGCTTGTCTGTGTGTCTTCACTCATCAAAAGGCCTTTAAAAGAAATTGTTGCAAAAGTCTCAACAATTTTTAGGGCTAAGTTTAGATTTTATGCATCAGCTGAGTGGAACGTAAAGGCGGTGTTGCTATCCAGTAAAAGTAAAATAGTAAAAATAAAAAATCTATTTATCTGTCTGTCTCTGAAGCTCTGATTGCAGTAACAATTTCAATCATGGTTGAATCATACTTTACTTTTACTTTTCCAAAAGATTCAAATTTACTCAATTTATCTTTGTTACTCCAATATTTTTCTTGCTGCATCAGGTTGTAAGAACTTGATTCAGTCTTGAGACTGAGATTTTAATCTCAATTAGTTTTTTAACCAGGTTAAATAAAGTAAATAATAATAATGAACAGCTACACAGTTTACCAATATCCTTTGGATATTATATACTAACCCACCCCCCCCCCCCCCAATTTTTGCTTTAGTCAAAACATTTATAATCAGCTTCAGCCTGAACTTTTGATGTGTTAGTTGATTAAGTGTTTTTTTTAAGCACATGATAATGTGGAAATGCTTCCCCTGCTTTGTTCCTACACTGATTTCTCTATAATCCTTCAACTTTGCACTATTTAGATTTACATTAATAACACAAACTCACTTCAATGGTTCTAACAGATGTCACTGTTTTAACCTTTTCATTGTGGTTTCATGTGGTTGAGTGTAACATTTAAAAAATGTAGTAATCGGTCTTATAATATTGGTTTTTAATCTATTTTTTAAGTTTTAACTAGTCTTTTTTGGAGTTCATGTTAGGTCTAGTAAAAGGGCAACAAATGATACTACGCTGGTCTTACTAAATAAGCAGTATCTTTGGCTGCAAAATCTACTTGACCCCATTGAAAAAAGATGCAATAGAAAGTTCAGTTAAAAACTATTATACAAAATGTGTTTGTTTTATCAAAATTATTAAAGTTATACAACTTTTTCTATTTTGAATTACATTTTTTAGACCAAATAAAAGCATAAAACTTTAGTAGAGATATTTTTTTCAAATGTCAAAAAAGTTATGGAAAGAAAACATATATTTCGGTTAAGAATAGATTGAATTAAAGGAAAAAATGTCTTTTCAGTTCTTTTTTTTTTTTTTTGCCAGTGTTCCTGGAGATTAACAATCTGCTTTGAAGCACATATTGCACACGTCTTTATTGGGAGAATTCTGTTTAAACATTTGGCAATAGTCTAAGTATTACCTGCATCAAAGTGTTTAAGAACTTTTTGAATATGTTTAAAGTGAATATAGTTTCTACAAAAAGAAATGAAGCTCTGTCAACATGCCCATTTAAACAGCCAAAGGTTCCTTAAAGAAGGCTTATTGCGAAATTAAAAAAGGTGAAACTAAAAGTTTTCCATTTAAGGAGTTCTGGAGAGTCAATATTGATAGACAAAAAAATATATATATATCGTAAAAGTAAAATGTTTACATATTTCTCTTTTACAGTTTTGCTATAATTGCTCCAAGGGTGTTTTTTTCTCTCAGTTAAAGGCATGTTTTAGAGTCTCTACACTCCAGTTAACGATTATCAATTACAAATTAGTTGACGATTACTTCAATAATCGAATAATCGCGATTAATCCGATTAGTTGTTTCAGCCCTGATATAGATGCAAATGTTTGGTATAAAAGTAAAAAAATATATGTTAGACAGAGGCTAAAACTACATTACTGTCGCTGAATTATTATTTTTTTTAAATGAAGGAATATTCTGCTTTTTACATACTGTGATTGACATATGTTATTTCTTGCAAAGTAGATATAATTTTTAGAAATCTGGACAGAAGGTGTTTTTCCTCAGCTCATAGCTCTCATTTCTGAGAAAGATGTAGAGGAAGAAATGTTAAAAGAAAACAAACAGACACAAGCAAGGAGAAATGGATTATTATTTTCATCCATCAAAATAATAATTCCTGTAAAACACTGTATGCGGTTCAAAGGACGCATTAAGATCAATCCTCTAAATTACAGTCCAGATAACTCTATTAAATCAGTTTCAGTTTGTCCACCTTTCCTTTCTTGAAATAGATAAAATAAACTGACTGACTTTCAATTGCCAAAAACTCAAACAAACAGTTTGCTATTTTTGAACTTTGCTGCCATTTCAGTTACAAAATACAGTCAGAGTAAATTAGAACAAATATAATTTCATTAAGTTGCATCTCACAGTGATTAGGTGGAAATGGACGCCTGTTTGTTCTCCACTCGCCGTTGTTACAGCCAGCTGGTGAGGGCTTAGTGTTAAGCTGTTTCTAGTTTCCGCTCCAGCTCACCATCCTGGTGCCAGGACAGCTGATCTGAAAGGACATCACTGCCAAAAACGCTTCCTTTTTTTTTTTTTCAGCATCAACTGTCATAAATTTTTCCATCTGACATGTTTATGGCATCTCTCCAACTCAGTACTATACTGAGCATGTATGCAGACACAAACAGGGCTGTTCACAGAGATCTTAAACATTTAAAATTAAAACTCTTGTTTCTGTATGTTCAGAATGCCGAGGGAGACGGCCAGACACTGACTGAGGTCGATCTGTTTATTTCTACCCAGAGGATCAAAGTCCTCAATGCAGACACACAAGTAAGTACACCTGTCTTAACAGGAGCTGCTTCTTGAAGGTGCACTTTGTCAGTTTCAAAATGAATAATAAGGGAGTAGCAATTGGATTGCATAGAGGTTGTAAAACTTGGAGCTTAGCCACGAATTTCAGCTGCATCTTATGAAACCACGGCTTTTATCACTCAAATCTCAACAAGTCACTATGAGAGTTTCCTGTATAATCATGTGGAAATATATGTGCGGCACTACCTTTATTTGTGATATTCAGATAAATCACTGTTTCCAAACAGTTTATCCTTCAGATATTTATGCTGAGTTTCAACTAAAATAAAATCAGAATTTTTTGCAGAAAATGTTACAAAGTGAAGAATCTGTGTTCCTCAGAGCTGTTCACTGTGTTCACAGCAAAAAGATACATAGAAATTATATGGAAGCAGCAGATGATTTGTTTGTAACATTTTAACCTTATCTTTGGTTGGGCTCAGTGAGATATTTTCAGTGAGGTAACCTCCTGGTATAAAAAAAAAAAAAAAACTAAAGAACAAAAACAAAGTAACATGCTGCAATGCAGTGTCTGTCTCCCTCCCTTTTCCATCTGGTTGCCTCTGGTCCTGGCACTACTGCAAAATCGATTCAGTCCAAAAAAAAGTACTTATTTTCTGCAGTGGGAAGCTTTAAGCACTTTGCATTGGTGGTTCCCGAGTTGCACTCATTAAAGAATAACTCCAAAAGTGGGCTGGAAAAACAGCATCCATTAGATTCACATAATGAGGCTGTCACGGTGCTAATGAAATGAAGAAAACAGCAGAGAATTCATCTTATAATAAAAGATAAGCAATTAAAACCTCTGAATAAACACGCATTATTTAAAGTCTGTTCCTCTGAATTGTTATTTCATCAAAATATAATTCCCCATGCAATCTAATTTATCACACATGCCTTTTATTAACCTGGGTAAATAAATATAACACCATTAGAGTAGACTCAAGTTATTTGTCTGGGTTTTTGTACATAATATAAGATGAACATGATCTGCAGATAATCTGGTTTAGACTAGCATGGTATTGGGATGTAATTTGTTTATACAGCCAGATTAAAATAAAAAAAGACATTAAGATTCTGTTTGGATTGCCTTCTTTCCATGTTTTGCTCCACATGTATTACTGTATGTAGCTTTTTGAAACAATCATTAATTTAAAACAATCTTGATCATATTTGATCTTGTCTATCTGGTATTCTGTATGTTCTCCTAATTAAAGTGCATAAAAGGAATTTTAAACAACATAAATGTACTAAAAGGGACTTTTTATTCAAGAACAACACAAAAAGCATTAAATTGCTGCCATGATGGGTTCAGTGTTTGCTACTGTTTAATGCTTTAGTATTAAGGTTCAGGTTTATGAATGGAGTCTGAAGTTAAATTGTGATTTATGACATTTGCGTTGTTGTGCCCACAGGAAACGATGATGGACAATGCACTGCGCACCATCTCTTACATTGCTGACATAGGGAACATTGTGGTGCTGATGGCGAGGCGGCGGATGCCTCGAACGGCTTCACAGGACTGTATTGAGACTACACCTGGAGCGCCTGAGGCAAAGAAGCAGTACAAGATGATATGTCATGTCTTTGAATCTGAGGATGTAAGTGTCAAAGAGACAGTCGATATCTGGGGAAATGAATCTAGACATTTTAAGGCAAAACTTTATATATTTTTCCATCCAACTAATGAGAAATTCAAATATTTTTTACAGAGTTTTGCTTAAAGCAGGTATACAGCCAATGTTATCATGGCTTACTATCAGCAGTTTATTAAACATTACTGTGTAGCTTACTATAATGATTAGAGGGAACCACTGATCTGCATTAATAGGAACTGGCTGGGAACTTTTGATTTCTTTTAGTTTGTTTATTTTTTACCCCACAAGGCAGTTGTTTGCTTAACTGAAGCAGTTTTAGGAAGGCTTGGCAAAAGGAACAATGTTGCACCAAGGAGCCAGCAGCTCAGATTTTCTCTGCCAAGTGGTATAAAGGCTGGACTCCAATCTGTCCCCTCCTCATCTAATTTTGCAGCCAGAGTTTTCATGGAGGTATTCAGCTGCTTTTCCATTAGATTAGAAACTGTGTCTGTTGTTATGGCTTCATTGGCTGTAGGCACTGTTTACTGTTTTAGACTTTTAATGTTGTTTTTTCATGCAGAATTAATTCCCTGAATCAGTTTTGGACTTAATTGTTTGCAGAATCAATATATAGTATCGTATTGAACTTTTAGTTTCAGCTATATAAAAAATGATTCCCAATAAATGCACTTTTTATTCATTTTAACTATTAATATATTCTATGCCAATGTAATTAACTGCATATGCAATATAATGACAAAAAAACCAAAACTTTTTTTAATCACAGAGGCACTCAATTTTGGTCACATTACATTGACTTTCTTAAGTGGGTTTGCCTCCACAGAGAAGGGGAAAGAGAGTTACACTACAGTTTGTACTGTACTGTAACTGTACTAACTACTGTACTGATCCCTCCATGCAAGTAGAAGTCAAAACTTTTCCAAAATACTGGAACAGTAAAGTCCTTTGACAATGGACTGGGGACAAGTAAGTTTTTCAGGTCATGTAAACAATAAAACTCTGTGTCAAATATCTAGTGCCAAGGAAAATCAGAAAATCTGAATTAAGATTTTTGGGTAAATTATCTAACTCTATTCTATTGATTTCTTCCACAAAACTACATATATATTATTACATTCAATACGTTCTGAGCTTACATGCAATAACAGTTCTTAATTCAGTGCCTTGTATAACTCAGCACGGCTTCTATACACAGGTGCTACCGGGCCGTCTGACCACCATCAGTAAGCAATGTAGGCAAAGTGTTTTAACCAAGGAGACAGCAACACTGAAAGTCGGAGCTTGAATCAACAAGCTCCAGAATCCGACGCCACTGTCGTCCCAACCTGAATGAACCAAACTGAGCCGTGTGTTGACAAGGCAACCCTTGTTCATATGGGTAAAGTTTAACCTATAGGACAATTCTGATACTGTAGTAACTTATTCGTGACACAGGAGAAAATAACCTTAGATCACACAGCTGTGGTTTAAAAATGGATTTGAATAAAAAAAAAAAAACTTCTGATTTGTCATAATTATATGTTTATAGCTATTTTAAACAGAAAGAAAAGGGACTGGTTTTATCATCCACTACTTGCAATGTAGGACGAATGCAAGGTGAAAAATAACGATCGGGAGGCTTAGTTTGAGTGCAGCGTCTGTTTCTTTTGGGTAACATTAAATAGGATGTTATTGTAAATCATTTGATAATTTTAAACAAAATTAGCTTGGGTATGTTCTATTTTCCTTGCTGTAGTTTTCATTTACTCTGTCTGCTTCTAAGTAAGAAGCCCTCATAAATAAATGTCATCCCTCAATGAGAAAAAATAGCTTAGGAGGGTAAAGATCAATCTATTTTATGTGAGTGTATTCTTGGCAAACCCCATGGCCAGTGCTGCCACTGGAGGCTTTTCTGCCTGCTGATGAGCTAATATTATTAGCAATGCAGAGTAAATAAAAGAACAAAACCAGAGGCAAAAGATACGAGTTTTAAATATTGATTTTTTCATTTTTTTTATTAACAGGCCCAGCTTATTGCTCAGTCCATCGGTCAGGCATTCAGTGTGGCCTACCAGGAGTTCCTCAGAGCCAACGGCATCAACCCCGAGGACCTCAGTCAGAAGGAGTACAGTGATATCATCAACACACAGGAAATGTACAATGATGACCTCATTCACTTCTCCAACTCTGAAAACTGCAAGGAGGTCTGTGTGCATTAAAAGCATCCAAGTTTCTCTGCAGGTGTTCTTATCTGTGTCAGTGCAAAAAAAACAAAAACAAGAAACGCTTTGAGAATTTACAAGCAGCTGAGGAAATCCCACTCATACTGCAGGGCCATGAAATTACAGAACTGTTGTGGCTGTTTGCTAATGCGAGAGATAGGGGCAGATGTTACAGTAAAAATACACTCAGGGCATGTCAGCTCTTTCTGTTGAAGCAATGCCTCCTCTGTGTCCTGGAGGCTTCGGGAGATTTAGAAGCCATGAAAAATGCCTGCTTAAGGGTACACTGGAACACATCCTATTTTAGAAGCAAATTAGTCATTTGAAAGGATGGGAAAACTAGGGAAACTTGGAGTAGTATAGCTTTGTTGCTTCCTAATGGGCCAAAAACCATTTATCATCTCAGAGCTTCATGGTTATACTGGTAGTTTCACAATGTCAAAATAAATGTTTACTGAATAAAAGAAAGATGCCCAGAGAAGACATTTTATTCCAGATATTAAAGTAGTAAAGACTATTTGATAAAAATTTCCATGAATTTCCTTCATGATTTTAGGGTTTATTGCATAGATTGGATGAACAAGGCAGTATTTATATCAATTAGTCTTAGCGTTAGTATTGTGTCATAAGACAACTATTTAATAAGCTCTGTCTATGCTAATGAATTTGAATTTATGATTAAATATATCAAGTGGTGGAAAAAAAAAATAATATGTTTTCATGATATTGAGAATATTTTATTTAAGAAAATATACCAAGATGGGCCCCAAAGAAATCTTTAGAATCTCTGCTTTATTCTGAGAGAGGAGAAATAACGTAGTGAACAATCACTTTATGATGAAAGTGATTATCTGTTAAAACAAACATCTTAAACTCAAATGGGAATTTTACTAAGCAGTTTTGAATTTTACAATGTTTTAATAATATAAAGATTAAGAGTTTATTAAAGGAAGAGGGTAAGATCAGTAACTATTAAAACAGAGGTTTTAATAGGACTAATAACCAGCAACTGGATTTTCAAAGGAGCAGAGGGCTGATTTGATAAATGGTGGTAGAAACCTCAATGTAAAAATATAGGGTTATAAGAAATCAACAATATAAAAGTTTAAAAAAAAAAGCATGAGCTGAATATAAGAAGATTCCAGCAAAAGAAATATGACATGTAAAAATGTCACCTTGGAAATGTTCTGGTATTTATACCAATATTAATATGTTATGAAAAGAAATCTTGTTAAAATCCCCCTAAACCAGTTGCTCTGCCCCTTTAACCAATTATTAAAACCTTTTTTATGGATATATAGCATGTATTATCCTGCTAAACGAGACCATCCAGGCCATAAAGGAATAGTGTTTCCACATTCACCAGCTTCAGTTGGTCCATAACCCTGACAGGTATATTTTTAAAGCATCTTTGGTTTGACCAACATGGTTCATCTGACTGAAAGTAATGTTAAGGGTTTGGGATTTGCACAAAATGTGTCTACATGAGAATCATCCATGACCCTGTAACAAGTTCACCGTTTCTTTTTTGGATCACTATGAAACATAACCTACTGACCACTGCAGTGAGCACCCCATAAGCCTGGATCCAGTTATTCTGTCAACACAGTCTGCTGCTTGTTAAATTTGTTTCAGTTCTTACACATCTGCAATTTTCAAGCTTCAAATACATTTCAAACAAAATGTATAGTTAATACTTACTGAATCCCACCTACTTCCAGGTGCCATAATGATTAAAGAATATAGTTCTAAAAAAGTATTGGATGGAATATGTTTTTAAATGTTATGATAAGTGTATTCCAAATCTATGATAACGATTCATTCAGTGTCAATTTTCCAGCAAATGACAGCCCACTATGAGAAATAGACACCAAAGGAATTCAATGCAACTTTTGTGGTGTTTGATGTAATAAGAGCGCAAAACAACATGCAAATAAATGGGTTTTATACAGTGTAATATCAAATCAGACCAGCTTAGACTAACAGTTATGTGGAGTAAATTCTAGCCTTATGGCTACCTCTGCGCACAAGCAAAGTTGTATAACTAATTTTTTAGTAGAGTTACAAGATCTGTTGCAGAAGTAGATAAACAGTCCTAAACTAAATTCAATACTATATCAAAAAAATATAAACTCATGAGAGCATTCAATGAATAAAATCTTTCCAATGCTGAGGACAGCTGTGCAGTAAAGCATTTTTTAAACACCCTATTATTATAACATGGATTGTAAATAAATAATTTATAAAAAAGAAATTGTTGTTTAACTGTTTTGCTATAAATTGCAAGCACCTAAAAATCTTCAAAGCTTTTATTATAGACATTGCTACAATAGAAGTTCCTGAAATGAGGACCTTGAAGTTGTACAGGGGTAAGTAGCCTATTGTGCTAAACTATCAAATTATAAAACTCTGAATAAGTTGTAAATATTTTGCTTCAGTTTTAATTCATGTAATATTTTCAGCTTTTGAAACTTTAAAATGCCTTTCTGCTTTTTATAAGTGGGTATTGAGGCCAAAGGGCCAAGAGAGAGAAGTAATTTTTGAATCGATTCTCGCAGTGTCAAATGTCCAGCGGATGTTAAATTAACCCAGTGAGTTTAGGAGATCAAGGTGCATCACTGCCTTAATGCAACATTTCGATAAATCCAACGTTGCATGGCATTGATTTACAGTCATGCCCACAACAGTCTTATACAACCAGAGATAATAATCCTCCACAGCACAAACAGTATTACTAAATCACTGACTGCTTATTTTTAAGCCCTGTCACTTCAGCTCAGAGCTCCAGGATTGTGATTCCAGCTCTAATTCCTGTAGGAGAGCTTGAAATGATCAACTGCCTGTTTGCTGTGTACATTAATGAGTTATTCTTCACATTTTTAGATCGTTTGCTGGTAAAAGGAATGAAACTAAAATCTTCTACCACAGATTTTGATGGAGAGAAACCCAGCAGGCAGCTGTGATATTTTTAATAAACCTGTAATCCTTTGCAGTTTCTCTGAACTCACTCAGGTCTTCAGTGATGTAGTTCTAATTTGAGGCGGGTCTGTTGCAGATGAAGCCCAAAAAGTGACCAATGAAGTGTCTCTCCACAGCTGGTGCTGGAGAAAAGCAAAGGGGAGATCCTGGGTGTGGTGATCGTGGAGTCGGGCTGGGGCTCCATCCTGCCAACAGTTATCTTAGCCAACATGATGAATGGTGCACCAGCAGCTCGATCTGGCAAGCTCAGCATTGGAGACCAGATTATGTCCATTAACAACACCAGCCTCGTGGGGTTGCCTCTTGCCACCTGTCAGGGAATCATTAAGGTGCAAGACACTTCTTAAATATTTTACCTTTTCATAACTAGACTGGATAAAAATCTTCAAGTACATAGAAAAGCTCTAATGTTTGTCCACTTCTCTGTTAAAGGGCTTAAAGAACCAGGTTCAGGTAAAAATGAACATCGTCAGCTGCCCTCCGGTTACCACAGTTCTCATTAAGAGACCTGATCTGAAGTATCAGCTGGGTTTCAGCGTCCAGAATGGCATCGTAAGTTGTTTAATAATTATATTGTTTGAGTTTTTCCCCCTGCAGACAAAATGCTTACACTATGCACACATTTATACTACAGAGGATGAATCCGTACTGCTTTTCCAATCTCACTTTTTTTATTTGATATGCTATGGAAAGACAATCTGCTTCTTCGTAGATTGTTCTGTTTCTCCTTTATGTGACTTTATTTACCTATGGTGAAGGTTCTGTGTATGTTCTACCCTGCAGATATGCAGCCTGATGCGGGGTGGCATCGCTGAGCGAGGCGGTGTCCGCGTGGGTCACAGGATTATAGAGATCAACGGCCAGAGCGTGGTGGCTACAGCACATGAGAAGATTGTTCAGGCGCTCTCCAACTCTGTTGGCGAGGTTAAACCTATACACACACAGACACAGAAGGATTTTAACTTCCATATAACCATTTAAAATGTATTACAAATTTAGTGTCATTTTAGCAGATACTATGCCTATTTGTAGTCAAATATGTTGTAAACAGGCTGTGTATATAAGAAATATGGAATACAGACATAATACTGGGGGTAAAAAGGGCCACAATCCCTAAAAAGCAACATTTTAAATGAATATTTATATTTCTAACAAAAGAAAGAGATGAGAATTGAGATTTCTCTGATTTCAAAACTCACCGAAAGCTCCTTTTGATTCTGCCAGTAAGATTTTCTATGTAATTTACTAATGATTTCATGAAAAATATTCATTTTCAGGATATAAACAAAGAGTAGAAAAATAATAACTTCAGTAAACCCTACATCCACAGTTCGACCTAATATTATTCAACCCCCTTTGAAATGTTTTGACGTCTTTTTAGTTAAAATACTTGAAAAAAAACCCAAATATAATCAAAATAAAATAGATACAATCTAACTTAAATACAACACTTAATCCAAAATTCAGTAAATGCCATCATCACTGAATGTTGATGTCCAAAAAATTTGATTTTTTTTTTTTTTTGGACATCAAAAAGTGATGTCCAAAATGTGTTTCAAACACTTCATGACATCAAAAAGTGCCATGAAATTTTCATGAAAGTTCATTACATGATCATGAACTCAAAAGGGAGTTTATGAATGCAACCAATGACTTATACTTGAAATAGAGTAAATCAAATTCCTGGACTGCTGATGGTAAAGTTTCATTAGAATCAAGGAACAAAGCTGGTTCAAGAAATAGTGCAAAATATGCAGAAAAGTTACTAGTTTCCACAAAAATATAATAATGGCAAAAAAAGATATCAAAAGTCCTAAATGTTCCTTAACGTATGCCTGTGACCATTGTTGCATCTCAGTTTCAGTTTGTAAAGTAGTTCCAGAGGTAAATGATCATGAAAAAGTGGAGGATGATGTTTTTCCCGGTGGATCAATTAAATAAGTGGTCCTCCTAAATGTCAATCATTCTGGTAAGATGTTTACATCCTACGTACTTGTCCCAATTTTCACTTATCGGTGGTGAGTCTGACATAGTGGAAAAATTGCTTTTGGAAAGTAAGTTTGTATGAGTGATATAAACAGCAACTTTTAAACAGAAGGGGAAATGGGCTCCTGCATGCTCTCGCACACGTTTGTGTTCCCTCTTAGGAGCAGGTACAGGGTTGTGCATGTGCATTTTTTTATTTAAAGTGGAGAGGGCGGATATTTTTTTTTTTTAAATCCTCCACTTTACCTTTAATTGAATTAATTTAAGTTATTTGAACATTTCTATTATATTGAATTCTGATCCCTATTTGCACCAAAGGAAATAATCTAAGTGAATCTATCTTAATATGATCCCACACCAAAATAACTCTTAAGCTACCGGCTGTAAATGGTGATTTACTGCAGACATAAATATCCATCATAAAAATATGTTTTAAACCATTGATTGAAAAGGAGTTAAAAAAAAAACTGTAATGCATAGTGGCTGCTAATTGATTAGTGTCATTTCAAAACCTTTGTACTCAGTCAGGTACCAAACTATCAGAACTGGAAATTGATTGGAGAAATTAGTTGCATCCTTTAAGTACATGTAACAGTAATGTTTTCTGTTGTTATGGTATCTTTGAATCTTTGCTGCTTTCTTCTCCATCCAGATCCACATGAAGACCATGCCAGCGGCCATGTTCAGGCTTCTAACTGGACAGGAGACGCCCATGTATATATAAGCAGCTGGGATTCATAAGGTGGACAGGAAGGAGGGCATTTATCCTGCAGCCCAAAACTACTAGCAGATTTAGCCACCAGGAGGACGACCATGCCTCCCCACAGATTTTTGTTTTGTTTTGACCTTTTTGGGTTGAAGTTATTTCATCCTTTTTCACATGTCTGTGCTATTTGCAACTGCTATTTGATGTAAGATGTTTCACCCTTCTGACCAGCTGAAGAGGAAGCATGTGCATATGTTTTGACTGTTGTTAATTTATTTGTCCTGTCCTTGATAACTTTTTGGTTCCTTCAGTGAAACAGTGTGGATAGAGTTAACGCTTGAATATGTCCCAGTTTTTTGTTTGTTTTTTTAATCCATATAATGCAATATAACGTCTTAAACTTTTTTTGTAAGCTTTTGCTGTTAATTTATTTCTCATGTAGATACACACTTTGCTCATTTTACAAGGGAAGGCAGCTGCTGCTAAAACCACTTCTGCACTGTAAATATTCCAGCGATGATGGCAGACCACAATGGTGGCTAAGGCACAATTAGATCTGAAATATCATGTTAAGTTTCCATTGATGAGGGTGGCAACTTATGTGTTTGAATAAGCCAAGCTAATGTACTGTATGTGTGAATCAAAGCAATGCCCACAGCAGGGGTTTATGGGAGAAACGCCATATCCTGTTTAATTTCAAGGCAATATACAAATTCAACCTCTTTAAAACAAGTTTTTTTTGTTTGGTTTTTTTTTTACATTTACATGTAGTTGAGAAAAGTTGCTTTTTTTATCAGGTTCAATGTGCGAATAATGTTTTCTTCCTGCTCTTGCCTCTATTACGCTCATCTCTGGAGTTCTGACTGAAACTCGCTAACTAATGACTGGGCTGTGAATGTAAATGTGTTGTGTGAGCCGTCTCATTGCCATAACGCAGTATTAGAATGTCTGTACATAAAAATGAAAATTGTCTAGTGTTGTGTTCATGTTAAGGAACAAAACACAAAGGTTTAGTCTCTGATAAACATCCACCAGACTTCCATTGGACCCTGGGCTTCTGTGGAACAAAGCGAGAGAAATGTGAATCACACACACTGTGATTGGGGAAAAAAAGTTTCTTACCATGGAGTTACAGTTTAGCAACATAGTGTAGTAAATTTTATCCGTATGAACATTATCTGTGTGCATGCCTCGTAAAAAGTAGTTTCTCATGTTATTGTGGCAAGACAATAAAATTCTGAGCTGAACCTTGATTTATTCATCTGGCTGAATTAATTGCACTCTGAACGTCTAACTGCAGTTCTAATAAACAATGACAGTACCCAGAAAAACAGGAGTAAAGATCCCACAGACCCTTATGAGTATTAGTAAAATTTTATAATCAGCTACTTGGTAAAGACCGTTGTTAACGTCATAAACCAAGTCTAAATTTTTTAAATAATAGAAATAGTTATGCTATTAATATATGGGAGAGAAGGATTAAAAAGCAATATAAGTTATATACATTCATTAAATTTATTCAATTAGTAAATTGCAAAATTTTAAATTTCTCCAAAGCAGAAGAAATCTCTCCATAAACCCTGAATGTAGAATGCTTCTGACAGGAAGTAATTCGATCTGAAAAACTCAAACGAGCAAAGAAAAGACAATTAGAGGAATTTGTTTTGATACAATCACTTTAGTCTTTGGCACTCTGACCTCAGCGGGAAACATTAGAGATGAATTTTTTTGATATGCATAAACAGGAGTAAACATTAGGGATGAATTCCCCCTTCACGCTTGGGGAAAATATTCCACATGATGAGCAAGCATGAGGCTATGATGAGCAAGCATGAAGTGACAGTGGAGAGGAAAAACTCCCCATTGGAAAGAAACCTCTGGCAGAACCAGGCTCAACATGAGACAGAGAACATAGTAAGACTCCGGGAGTAATGACACTCTGATGAAGCTTTAGCTACGATGGTGGAAGTGGGTTGAATCTGAGTCATCTGAATCGAAGTCAGCCATAGCGCAACCACTGCCTGCGCTTTGGGTATCAGATGGAGTTTTGGATTGGAGACCTTTTAAGATGAACTCTTGATGCTGATTTAGCTTTTGTGGAGGTATGATTCAACGCTGATTAGCTTGTGTCGGATGAGGCGAAGTAATGAGTTTATTCAGTTGAACTTCCGCTTATTAAGTTTTTCAAAAGGCCCGACTACAACTTCCTTACTGAATGGAGAAAAAAAAAAAAAAAACGTACATCTGAATTTTCCAGGCGGGTTGATTGTGGGCTTTATTATACATCCAAAGAAATGTCAATGAAATCACTGAAAAAAATAAAATATATACATATATATCAGAAATGGACCCATCCAGATTTCTAATAAAATATTATCAGCGCTGTTCATGGGGAACTATAGATGGATGATTTGAACATTGATTTGTGCCTCCTCCCATCATCAAAGATTCAAACAATAGAAATAAAATAATGCCTATTGATTAACAAGTATAGATCAGGGTATTACTATCTAGTAAAAAGTGTTTATTAAATTATCAAAATGCAGCGATAAAGAAAGTCAAAACAGACTTAACACTTAACTCTACTTCTAATATTTATAATGACATTTCCAGTTTTTGAATTTTTAAAACAATCTGACAATTTCTACACTTTGCAATAAACTTCCAATTTAAGTCAAGCCAAAATAAAAGCTGTAAGGCTTTAAACAGAGAAGATCTGCTTTCCTATTTTGACATAAACCTCAGATCATCTCCCTACTGTTTTAAATTCACAGATATAGTAGAAGAAACCCACCTAACAATCTGCAACTTCATTTCCTGGTTCAAATGCTTTCTCAGTATTCTTTTCTGAACATCTAGTGCCCCCTACAGCTAAAAATGGCTAGTGCAACTCTTGCAGACAAAACAAAGCACTATAAATTCACATAAACAACATTGCTCAATGGTTTATTACATACTGTAAATCCCAAACATGCATGCAGCTTTCAGAGCAGAAAGAATTAAACAGTGCCATCAGAAGATAAAAGTCTGATAAACTGCTTCCAGGTGTCTTTTACAAAGCTCTGATTAGAGTGTTTTCTTTTGAACTTGTGTTTGTTATCTTTCTGAGGCCAGAGTCCACTCTGTGACTGTCACGCAGTGTCCATCTCAGCAGATCTGTTTGGCTTCACTACAGAGGATAGATTCATGGGTTCTGGTCATTTTTATCACACTTTAACATGACCTTTATCCCAAGACCCTGTCGCGTGGTCTCAAATGCCTGCACAGCCTGCTCCAGTGGAAAGCGGTGGGTCACAAGAGGCTTCACATTTACTTTACCGGATGACAACATAGCGATAGCCATCGGCCAGCTGCAACAAACCAAACGAATGTTTTGTCAGATTCTATGTGATACAAAACATTGTCATGTAATTCAAGTAATATGCTTGAACCATTATCATCTGGGCTAAACAGAAGTATTTCCTCACGTGTTGCAGTAGCGAAACACTCCTCTGATGTCCACTTCTCTTACAGCAGCGTTGACGAGAGGAACGGTAGTCATCGGAGCACCGAGGCCCACCAGCACCACTACACCTCCTGAGCGCGTTGCCTGAGAGGCAGTTAAAACTTTAGTTATTGTAAGGATGTCATGCTTTTTTTTTTTTTTTTTATAACTTAACCTAAATCACAGAAAAACAGGCAATAAAAAGTAATAGATTGGAGACATCAATATAGCACATTTTGTTTATAGAAACGCCTTAACCTCTAATAAAATAATTTACTAAAATAAGACTTGCAAAACACAAGCAAGTCAAATGATATTTTATCCATTCTGCTGTATAAGACAGCGAGAAGCAAGCTAGCACTATATTTCTGCTCTTTCTTAATGTGTGATTGTTGTTATAATTTATGATTTAACAGGGGATTTACATAAAGGGCAGTTTGAATGCAGCTCTCCACTCCAGTGCATTCAATGGTGATCTCAGGCTGAGCTCCCAGGATTTCCTCCACTTTCTTTGCCAGCTCCTGGGGTCCGTCATCTTTTTTCACTGTCAGCTGGAAGTCTGCACCTAGTTCCTTGGCCATCTCCAGGCGCTCTTTGAACAAATCTAAAGACAGCTGCAGGTGTTGAATTCTATATATATATATATATATGTATTTTTTTTTGTTATTATTTGATCGAGTTGTTTTGGGTTGTTCTTACCAGTGATGATGACTTTTGAAGCCCCCATTGCCTTGGCTACAAGCAAGCTAACCAATCCAATGGGTCCTATAGGAAAGGAGACACATTAATAATGTAAATAAACTTACTATTTTCTGGGGTTAAAACATGTCTTCATAAGCTTTAGTTCACAAGATAAAACTTAGAACAATTGAAACCGGGTCATTTAAATTCTGTTTTTCCACGATTTTTTTTATTCTATTGACATATGAAATCAGACAAAACTTTTTATACCAACATCAAAATAATTAGACTAATTTTTTTAATTAATAATCTCTACAAAATAAGAGACTTACATAAACTAAGATAGCTACCTTTAAACAGTTTTGGAAAGCACAAATGAGGATGTCATTATTCTACAAGCTATTTGATGGGTTGTTAAAATTATTTTAAATAAATGGACCCATGTGGTTGCATTTTAAGACAAAACCCAATGTTGTCGTTCTTTGGCATATTGGTAAAAATCAAAAGAAATCAGCCATGATATCAGGAAGAAAATTTCAAACTTCAAAGAATAGTCAGCATGAGCGGAAAAACAGCATGTGGAAACAATAATAATAATAGTAACGTAACTTCTAAAGACACCAGGTGGAAAGTTAAAGCTTGGATATATGTGGTTATTTTAAATGAACAATGATGTGAAACACAGACTAATTAATTTTAAAAGAATAAACTCGACAAAGGCAGTGTGATCATAACACAACTCCCAACTAGGTACATCAGGAGACATAAGCCTTATTTAAAGGAGAAGCTTGTTTAAGGATACCCAAAACCACAAAACAGGGTTCAATTGGTTTAGCTCAGTCTTTTTTAAAACATTAAGAGCAATTGTCCTGGATAGGTGTACAGAAAAAGTTAGAGTAAGTCAGGTTGCCTTCCAATTTAAGGCTATTTTGTAGTTGCCATGACCTGGATGACGGAGATTTTCTGCAAATACCCACAAAATTTGACCTTATTCTACCAGTTACTAAGGCTAAGATAAATTATCTCAAAAAGAAAATAAAGGTTTAGTCTGATTTAATGCCCAATAGTGAAGGAAAAGTAGTTATGTAAATAGTTTGTTGCATATTTACAATCAAGTTCCAGTTCAAATCAAGAAGAAAATGAATTGGGATTTTCATTATGATAAATTTTTACTTGCTCTATCTTTTGTTGTGTCTCATGGGTGTGGCCATACGATTCCTAACCTGAAAAGGCCTGTTAGGACCATCTGTATGCACAGCTCTTGCATTCCACTGAAATTTCTCTATGGTGGAATTTTACTAGACAACTTTAGTGAGCTAAATGGCTCTTGCTCGGTTTTTACCTGCACCACAGATGAGTACGGTACTGCCAAGGCTGACCCCAGCCCGGCGACAGGCATGAATTCCCACAGAGAGTGGCTCGATGAGTGCACCCTCCTCGAATGAGACACTATCAGGCAACCTATGCAGACACACAGAAAGAGATAAGACGGGGTATATGCAGAGATTAGGCAAGAGAGTCAGCTAGCAGTTAGTTATTAAGTAAGGTCTGATGCAATGCTTTGCAGCATTGAATAAACAGGTACTTGTAGCAAAAATTGGCATTGTGGGTGTAATATCTGCACAAGTTTCCATCATCTGGCGGTGTGGCGCAGAAGAAGATGGTGGGGGACAGGTTATATTTTCCTCTTTTAAAAAACTCATCCATCTCTCGGGGTACCCCAGGCTCAATGGCCACTCTGTCACCTGGAAAATTACAATTGTACTGCTTATGTAACAACAGATATGGAAACTGATTAGAGTACTGCAAAAGATAAAGATGTTTTAAAAGGAGTAAAAGTTGAATGTTCAGAGGGAGGTACATGCCTATCTTTAAAAGCATGCATAAAGTAAAATAAAACTTTTCTGTGAGTATAAAGACAATTCTGACCAACATGCATTCAGGTTTACCTGGTTTAAGGTGTGTGACCGCTGATCCGACCTTCACCACCCTCCCTGCAGCCTCGTGCCCCAGGACCATGGGTTTCTGGAGAACAAAGTCCCCGATTCGGCCATGCTGCCAGTAGTGGACATCTGATCCACAGATTCCCACTGAGTGCATCTGAAGCAGCACTTCTAAACACCAACAAGACACGAATGACAACGAGATGCATTATTTGTGACAAAACCAGTTCTCCTAATGCTTTTTATTTACATTCATATTCTAAATCTTCACAGTAATGTGCATTAACTGACACCACCTGAGAATAATTGCTCTTTGTTTACCATTAGGTCCTGGCTCTGGAACTGGACGATTTTCCTATTGAAGAAACAATAAGCTGCAGTTTACTTTGCTTTTTTTTTTTCTTTTTCGTTAAAGTTTGTGTTCGCTTTCTTACCAGCCTGAGGTCTCCTTTAGCATGCAACACCACGGACAAATTTTCCTGAGCCATGACAGAATCAACACCGGACAGGTGAAGGTGGAGGAACAACCCGAAAGGCCAGACAAGTATGCAACCTTTTCCTGTATTCACCAGTTAGTTCAAACAGCTCGGGCAACTAGCAGTGGGCAGGTGTTATGCCGAGAAATGCATGCCTGCCGAGAATTGCATCCCCTCTCGCGGGAGCGCGCGTCGCTCTAAACTCTCGTATA